GCCTCTTCTACTGAGAACAGACTCCACCCAATCATAAGATTCCAAAGCTTTCTGTACTAGGAAGTTCCTGAACACACTAATTAATGACCACATAATTGCTCCTGGTTAGGAAATGGCCCCTAATTGAGAATGATGTTTGAATTCATTAGGTCTGACTCTACCCACCATCCTGACAGTTGCCATTCGTCAAAGACTAGACTGTGAGTAACAAAGGTTTAGACAATTGGTTGCTCTTAACTGTTGAGAATGGGAAAACAATGGAGGAGGAACCATTTTATAAATGTGACCGTAGCTAAGAGACACTTTCATGAGCTCCAAAGTGACTATGTGTAAAGAAGAGTTCTTACATCACTCTCTTCCTCCAGGAAGTTGATAAAGGAAGCCATAGAATTTTCAAATCTGCTAAAACCTCCAATGAATCAGGATTGTATAAATAAGTAGCACTTAAGGCCTACATGTCTGGTTTTACAACAGAATGAATTTGAAATGTGTATGCCTTTGAAAAAAACTAACCATGAGCCTTTCTTTGGTGAAATACAAGATGGATGTTGACACTGCTCATTTAGGAGGATAGGATTCATCACAGTGTTTCAACACAAGCTGACAGAAGATGTTTCATCTATTAATTTATTTGTTCATTCATTAAATTCAATTGCACTAAATTAAAACCACCCAGATTCCCACTACCCAGAGACTTCCACCACTGGCCTTTTCTAGTCACAGAAAGTCAACACAGACAATGTGTGTTGTAAATAACCACTTCCCACTGTCCCCTGTCATTGCAAAGAAGTATCCAAACCTTTGCATCACTACACAAACCCAGCCAAAGTTTCTAAAAAAAAAGTCTTAACTTTCTGAAAACAATACTTTATACATTAAAGAATGTTGGACAATTTTCTGCGAGAGCCCCTCAGTGTTTCATTATTTGTCATGTGAGGAGATGAGGAAATATGTTTTTCTGATTCAAATTAAGCTTCAGGGCTGTGGGGATAGCTGTCAACACATAGGCTCGATATATTTTTTATTGCAAACCCAAACACCCTGTTAGCTACATTTTCTATTTGGAAAGTTACTTCTGACTTCATTCAGTAGAACTCAGAGTCCAGGGGCTTAAAAAAAAAAAAAAAGAAAAGAAAAGAAAAGACAAAGAAAAGATTGTTTTAAACAACAAAACTATTCAAATGACTCTAATTAGATTATATACTAAGCACAATTTTCTAGCCCAATGAAATAAGTATTAAATAGCTACTCTATGACGAATGCATACTATGGAACTGAGGAAGGGGAAGCAGTGACTTTGAAACCAGCCCAGTCCTCATAATGAATGAGACCTTCTGTGCGTGCACATGTGTGTGTGTGTGTGTGTGTGTGTGTGTGTGTGTGTGTGCATGTATGTACACATGAGATATATATATATATATATATATATATATATAATCACTCCTGAGTGCTATTCCTAAAAGTGTTTGCAGATCTGAGTGGAAGGAAGCATCAAGATATACATGCTCTTCTACTTTTAAAATTTCAGTTTGAGGGCTGGCAAGAAGCCTCAGTGTGTAAAGCCCTCACTGAGCAAGCCTAATGGTGTGAGTGTCATCCCCAGAACCCATGGGAAGGTGAAAGGAGAAAGCTGACATCACAGGGCTGACCTCTGATCTCCACGCATGAACCATGGCACACGCACACACATATAACACACACACATACAACACACACACACACACACACATATATATATATATATATATATATATATATATATAATTTATTGTTCCTTCATAGCCATATTCTAATAGTTCTACTCAATAGCATAGGAACATAGGAAAAGGTTTTAAACACCCAGTTACTAATCTTATCCAGATTTCTGTAGATGGAAGTTCTGGTCCCACAGCCATTTAGCTCCAAATAAACATGCAGAGACTTATATTGTTTATAAACTGTTTGACCAATGGCTCAGGTCTCTTACTGACTAGCTCTCTCTTAATTATTAACCCATTTCTATTAATCTATTAATCAAGGCTGTGGCTTACCCATAATCTGGCATGTTGCTCCTTTAGCAGCTATATGGCATCCCCCTGGTCACTTTTCTCTGCCTTCCTCTCCCCAGAAGTATCCTTTTCTGGTAATCCCATCTATCCTTCTTGCCTGGCTACTGGCCAATTAGCATTTTATTCATCAACCAATATGAGAAACATATATATAGAAGGACATCCCCTATCAGATTTCATTAAGCATTTCCATGGGCTACACATTCCTCTATGTCCCTATGAGACACAAAGAGAGCAATGTTTGTCTTCATAGACTTTATTTGAAAAAGTTACATTTAGTGTATATAACACATTCTGTTTAATAGTGAGTGTCAAGGCTCCTGAAACTGGCTTTGTAGGTGATCAGAAATGCCACTGTCATACAAATAAAGTAAGACTGTTGTACAAGAAAGAAACAGAGAGAACTTTGGGTGTTTAACCCTAGCCTAGTAGGACTTTCATTGATGAGGGGAGATATAGAAGTTCCTATACATCTTTAGTATTTGAGATTTTAACACATGATTTTAGATCATTGCAGAAGACTCCTAAATTTGATCACTGGTCTTGCTGGCAGGAGGACATAACTAGTCTTAAGAAAACAGACTCTCACTGGGCAGTGGTGGTGCACACCTTTAATCCCAACCCTCCAGAGGCAGAGGCAGGCAGATGTCTAAGTTTGAGGCCAGCTTGATCTCAGAGTGAATTTCTGGACAGCTGACACTACACAGAGAATCCTTATCTCAAAAACAAAAAACAAAAACAAACAAAAAACCCAAGGCTTAATTCTTTTTCTATCTAAGTAATCCCTGTAACTTAGTTTTTGTGGTTAAACCTAGACTTTGGAAGCACGTGACAGACTAATAATGTTTGTTTGTATTCTGCTGGAAGGTCCTTCCCACCTTGTGGTAACATGGAGACCAGTGAGGATAGGACACTCCAGGAAAGGAACACTGAATACTTCCCCCTAAATATTAGGTCAGGAACATTTGGAATTCTGGTGCCAGCTTGATCATGTTTGAATAGCAGTATTAAAAATGCAGAATCATTAAAAAAAACAAAAAAAATAAACAAAAAAAAGCCTTTGATGGCTTAGTTTTCTCTATAAATGACAATGGCATAGAATAATTAATACAAAATGCATGAAGTTTCACATTGCAAATGATATGTTTGTGACTGCTATTATTAACATTCTTTCTCTTCATACAGGAGCTAATTAAGTTATACATAATAATAAAATATTTTGACTTTATATAATTCATAAAGTCTCCATTCTATACATGTCTTTCTTTGCATTAACAGTTTCAATTTTTATTTGGCAGCATAAATATTCACCTGCACACAGATCAATTTACATTTATCTCAAAATAAAATGATCTGGGTGCAGTGGCACACTACTTAATCCTGGTAAGTGAGAGGTTATACAAGAAACTTTCCAGTTCAAGTCCAATCTACAAAACCCATCTGAGGCCATCCTGGGCTACACAGTGATACCCTCCCCCAAAAGGCAAGACAGAAGGAGACAGAGAGATAGGAAGGCCCTGCCCTGAAAGGAGAGACACAGAGAGAGAGAGAGAGAGAGAGAGAGAGAAAGAGAGAGAGAGAGATAGACATGTGTTTACACATTGTTTGTAATCAAACAAAGCAGCTGAAGATGAGAAAAGCAAAGCAGCCAGCCACTAGGTCTCCTCTACCTCAGACTGAAAGGGCTATCCTGTCCTTAGCGTGGCTGCAGAACCAATCTCTGAGACTGAATACCGAATGCCCCACTCCTATCCTATATACCTCTTTAGAGCTGGGATTAAAGGCATAGAATCCCCAGTGCTGAGAACACTTTTGCTTGAGCTGTTTTCTCTTTTCAACTGATTCACTCTAATGTAACCCTGGGGGGCTTTGAACTCACAGAGGGCAGTCTGTCTCTACTTCCTGAGTCCTGGGATTAAAGCTATGATCAACCACTGCCTGGCCTCTATGGCTTGCTAGAATGGCTGCTGGAATAAAGGTGTGTACCACCACAATGGCTGTGGCTAGTTTTGCATTTTGATCTTTAGTTGCTTTATTAAATCAGAAGTAATATATCATTCCCCCTTTTTGGCTAATACAAAAAGAAGAAGGCTACAAAGGGGAAGGATATAGATCAGTTGCTATATTAGATCATAAACAATATATCACCAGGCAGACAGACAGACAGACAGAGAAAGAGAGAGATATTTCCTAGGAGGCCCTCCTCCAACCGACAAGGTTTTGGGGGAGTAGAAAGAAGGGCAACCACATAGCTTAGCAGCATACATAGCACAAGCCTAATGTGTTCAAAGCCCTGGGTCTGACCCCCAAGAACCATTAAAAAAGAAAGAAGAGAGCAGAACAGAAGGGATTCATTCCCATGTTTGTTAGTCAGCCAGTGATCACTGTGACAAATGTAACTGGCCCTGTGGTATCGCCAGCTAGGTCAAGCACAAGAGGAAAATGGGGCACTATCCCTAAAAGTGTTTGTGTATCTGGGTGGAAGGAAGCTTCAAAATATACATGCCCTTCTACTTTTAAAATTTCAGTTTGAGGGCTGGCAAGAAGCCTCAGTGTGTAAAGCCCTCACTGAGCAAGCCTAATGGTGTGAGTGTCATCCCCAGAACCCATGGGAAGGTGAAAGGAGAAAGCTGACATCACAGGGCTGACCTCTGATCTCCACGCATGAACCATGGCACAGCCACACACATGCATACACACACACACATGCAAACACATACCATCAAGTGAAAATTTTAAATATTTAAAATTACAGTTTCTAGAATTCTAGCTAACAAGTACAAAAGAGCCATATTTTTCTTGTTCTTTTTATGGAGACTTTTGATGAAGTAAAGTTTCTTAGGCTATTTTCCATTACCAGTGTGTTCTTATGCTCTTCTGAAGTTGTGAGTTGACCGTGTCACTTGTAAAAAAGATCTGATGTACAATGTCAATTCTTGTTTTGGGGTGCAGACCTTTAATGCCTGAGGAATGTAGAGTCACAGTTCAACCCGCACAGACCCTGACCTCGGATTACTCCCGGCTCTGTCGGAATGGCTACTACACCCCCCACGGGCAAGTGCTGCTGCAGTCCAGGCTGGGAGGGAGACTTCTGCAGAACTGGTTAGTATTTCTGTTGTCACCTGGAACACTGTAAATGGCCCTTGGGTTTGAGAAACTAGTGTCACCTGTTTCTAGACCCATTTGGTATGCAAGAGGCTAATGCTTTACAATTTCTCTTTCTGGAGTTACAAATGGAATCCTTCTCGATTTAATGTAGGTCGTTCACATACTCAAGTTAATCATGAGCATACAAGATCTCTAAATGATCGAATCTTTTCAAAAGGTAGAAAAAAAATGAAAACAGAACACCAAAGTCCTACCTTTGGAGCGCTCATACCCACCAAAAATTTGGTGTTTCCCAAAGCCCTGGCCAAGTGCCAGCCTTTACCAGCCACGGCATCGATGCCCTCTCTGGATTATCACTTGCATTTTGCTGTGGTACACTAGGAGTAGAGATTTTCAGAGCATGTTACTAACTAAAAGGGGAAAAATACAATTATCTAGATGCGTATTATGAGACTTTTCTAGTCTACTCCACTCCCTGGTAACCCATTGTGAAGTGAGCAGCTGCTGGAAGAGAGTAAAGCCATCTTGTGAGTTTCCTGCTATGTTAAATTTTAATTGGTGTGAAGTTAAGAAAAATGAATTAGGGCTGGAGAGATGGCTCAGCAGTTAAGAGCACTGGCTGTTCTTCCAGAGGTCCTGAGTTCAATTCCCAGCAATAGTATGTTGACTCAGAGTCATCTGTGACTGGATCTGACGTCCTCTTCTGTCCTGCAGGCATACAGAAGGACAGAGCACTCATAAATAAATAAAAATGAAAATGAATGACTTTAGAAACTTAAGAGTTTAAGATTGAACTTGAAATACAAATTCAACAAGGAGTGTGCATGGTAGTTTTGATCTCTACTGTATCACACATTAAAGTATACCCTGCCAATAAAAATCAAAATTAATATTTCTCTTGGATCATAAATAATCCTGTCTTTTATTCTAAAGATAAATCTGTTTTAAAAATATATTATAACCATGACTTGTCTGGTATGCATATTGCCTAACAAAACAACCAACATATAAACAGTACATATTTTAAGCTTAAATTGCTTTGCCATTTAGTAACATTGTTAACATCTGATTAGAGTTAGAGTTACAGATCTATGTGAGAGATACATAATTACAATTCTGCAGAATCTAGGTAGTTATTCAGACAAGGAGGCACACTCTATTGACCATTCCATCCCCCTCTTAGTCAGTTGAGCGCAAAACAAAGAATCAACATATAAATGTAATAGTATAGTCATATACCTGGGTATTGTTTCTCTACTCCTTTTAGTGTTGGATAATACATGTTCCTCCTAATTCCTTGTCTCTTTACATAGCAACTAATTCTGTTAAAGTCTTTGCACTTTACCTAACTTCTGTGTCTCCACAAACATACATAAGTTAAAAAAAATATTTTCTGAGTACCTCCTCTGGACAGCAAACTTACACCAAAGGTGAACAAATCATTTTCAATACTTATGTGTTATACAGTGTCTTAACAGATACTATTTACAATAAGAGAAGCATGGTAATTTTGGTTAACATTTGTTTTGTTTCTATAAAATCTTTCAACTAAGATTTCTCCTGATTAAATTTAAATACTTTCAATAACTAAGTAAAAAGCAAAACACTTTATAAGAGTAATCTGGGATGTCTTCATTGAAGAATGTTATACACCCATGTGGTTCACACATCTTCTGTAAGTTTGAAAGATGGAGTGCTTTCACTTTTATTTATACTTTCTTTCCCATGGCTCAGTCCTAGGACCATGAATCTTGAATACTGTGTCTGAAAGATGACTGTGATCCTAACGAGGAAATGTATTCAAAGAATTTTGTTTTGTCTGCAGTGGCTTTACCACCAGATTTATCAATAAGTGACAACTAATGAATAGACCAAACTGTGTCTTTCCATACCACCATTGAAGTAATCTTCACATTCTCTTTCTATAGCATAGGCGACAAATGATTTAATTAAGAGACTCAATGCTGTAAGCAGCCCTAAAGAGCATTGCCCAGAATGTCCTTTGTCAGTCTCTGCACTGAGCCCAGGATGGGACTTCAGGCATAATCAGAGATCAATATATTCTGTGCATCTCCCATCTTAGCATGGAGAAGCAAGGATGCCAGGGAGACCAGATGTTGTATATTGCATGCAACTCCAGTCCCAAGCTGACCTTATTTCAATGTCACATTGGAACTGCTCCAGCCGGTCACCCCTTTCTCGAGACCAGTCTCTCTCCTGTGAGGTCCTACCCTGAAGGAATAGAATTGCTGTTAGTTGAAATGCCTTGTGGAACAGTAGTTGAAAGGGCTGGTGTAATGGGTTAGTGCCAGTTCTACAAATGACTGGATAGTTTATCATGAGCCCTGCTTCTCCATGTGCTGACAAGCTCAGTTCCTGCCCCCAAAATCTTCATGTCTGGAAACTGTCCTGCATGTGTATTGCTCTGCCCAGTCAGTTTGTGACTGTTTTCTGCCTTCTTTTTCTACCTTTCCTTATTCATCAAATACTTAGTCTCATACATGGCATGGCTTCTGATGTGAAGTTTAAGAATAATACATGGGGCTGGAGAGATGGCTCAGAGGTTAAGAGCACTGGCCACTCTTCCAGAGGTCCTGAGTTCAATTCCCAGCAAAAACACCATGGTATACAACTATCTATAATGAGATCTGATGCCCTCTACTGGTCTAGGCATACAAGTAGACAGAACACTGTATACATAATAAATAAATCTTTTTTATATAAAAGATTAAAAAAAAGAGAGAATAATACCATGATTTATGTCTTGCAGCCAAATGTGAGCCAGCATGTCGTCATGGAGGAGTTTGCATCAGACCAAACAAGTGCCTCTGTAAGAAAGGCTACCTTGGTCCACAGTGTGAGCACATGGACAGAAGTTTACGCAGAGTGGCCAGGGCAGGTATTCTGGATGACATCATTGACATGGCATCTTATTTGCTGGATCTCACAAGTTATATTGTATAGTCTCTGGGACCGTTAACTAGTCCTTCCTGGTGGGCATTTACTTTGATCTTGTCATTAAAAAAAAAAGAGACTATCCTCCCGTTACACACTCCTGTGATCTCATTTTCTTTTAGTAATTTAAAAACTATTTCCAGAAATGTGCAGATTCCAGTGTGTATGTTGGCCTGTTCGTTCACATACACTCGTCCAACACGAGCAGTCACAATCCCCAGACTCCAGGTTGTATAACAGGTGGTTTTGTTTTGTTTTTAACATCTACTTCCTGGTGTGGAATACTTCACACAAAAGTTCCACTGAGAATTAATTACAGAATTTTTATGGCATCAGAAGATATTCCTTTAGTTCCCGGGAAATTTCTGCCTGTAATTACTAAAGTCGAGCATAGTAGGGTTTTGAAATGTTGTGCAATGTGGTAGAAATATTTTTATATTAAAGGTCTATAATAAGAGAGCATGTTTCCAAACTCCTTGATGGATTTCTGACCAAGCAGCTTGATGTGAGATTGTACTCTGCATTTCTGTTGTATCTAATTACAGAATGTTGCACACTCACTCACCTTTTTATTTGACAGAGCAATCTGGTTACTTCAGCTTGATCTCAAGATGGTATTCAAATGTCTTATGATTAAATCAGAGAAACCTATTTGAAAAGAGCAATCTTCCTGAATGGACTGCTTCTATTGTATATTTTGTGTAACAATAGTCACTGGGTTTGTGTTACATATTTATATTTTTTATTTTATTTTTATAATATAGACATCACCTAGATGAAACACCTTTACCCTATCCTGTAAATTACTAACGTTACATTTTCACCAACTTAATTGGAAAGAAGAGGAGTAAGGAAGCAAGCAGCCTTTAATGTGCCTTGGATCTAATCTAGCAGTGTTTCCTTGTGTCAACATGTAACCACCACACTGGTCAGATGAAAAAAGCAAGTGGACAGCCAGGCCTTCCAGAACTCCAGCCTTGCATACATATACAGTGCTTTCACCATAGCAAGACTGTCACGAGTCTGTGGGATTAGAAGGTTAAGGTGTGCACTCTGACTCCATCCTCCATGGAGAACAGCTTGCTCATCCACAACCACTTCAGGCTGTGCATAAGCTGCCTAACGTCAGATTCTTAAAACCGTCCTTCTTGGCAACACTGACTTCCATGCACATGCTCCTTCAGGACTCTGTGACAATACCCCTTGACTGTCGCCTCAATGCATTTCCTGCAAATGCTCTGTTCAGATTTTCTTAGAGAAATGAAGTACTCTAAGTTACGAGAGTCTGACAGACACTGTTCTTAATGGTTTTCCATTTGCCATCTCTCCACATTTACATTCTAACAAAGCATAAGGGTTTTGTACTACTGATCATGATAAGCATTCACCCTCCTCCGTAACATCCATCCCTCTTGAATCCAAAGTGTAGAATCATGTAAGTGCCCAGCACTGGCTGATATTGCACATATGCTCCTTATCCGTAGGAATATGAGTCTGAGTTATGGAACAATGATCTGTTGTTTTAAACTGAAAGAGTTGCAATTACATTGTGGATTCTAAGGAATTCTAAAGAATCTACAACATAGAACAATTTGTTGGCTCCACTGCTGCTGTCTTCCATATATGATTACTTGGGTTTCCAATGACCTCATACCAATGGAAATGGGTTGAAAAATCTTAGTGCTTAGTGAACAATAGCCTGCATTAAAAAGTGCATGCATAATTTTGCACAATTTAGCTTCAATTGACAGTCTATTCAAAGAAATCTTGGAACTAAATGAGCATGGAGACCAAATTGCCCTCTTACCCCAGAAAAGGGGTGGTCCCTTCTAGTCTCACCAACACTTCATTGGCCCAACACTGTGACAAATCTTGCAATGAACCATGCAGTACCCTGCATCTGTAGGTTAATAGCAACCTTTTGTCTCCATTGCTTTCTCTTCATAGTCCTTTTACTGAATTCCATCACAGAAAGTTTTACAATTAAAAAAAAAAAAAAAAAAAAAAAAAAAGGAAAAACTGCCCTGACAACCATTTTTGTAAGTGGACCTTACTATCAAATCATCTCTTATTCAACATGGGTGACACTGACAGAATGTGAATGTCTCCTGAAGGAGCCAGCTGTCTAAATCTGTCAAATCGTACAGTTTTATTACACATACCCCCATTCATAGTTTGAGCAAAAACAAGAAGGATACCCCTAGAAAGCCAACAGAGTCTTAAAGCCCAAGTGCTTCATTTTACACTTAAAGGGAAGATGTTCCATTGGTGGACGTTCTACTCAAACAATGTAGACTAAGCTGGCCAGACCAGAGCTGCTTTAATAGCCCTTTCTCAAGTGACGTATTCCTTGAAGTTGATTTTTATGTCTGGGGATTATCATAAATGACTTGTGAGAGATGTATTGGAATTGGTTAAAAAGTATGAGCTAAGAAAAGTCTATCCACCTAACAAAGCACACAATTTAAACTAGAAAAATGTCATTTATGTGAGTGCTGATATATCTGACAAAGAAGAACTAAACAGTTACTATTATTCCCTACCTATACTAGAGCTTAAGCTTTGGGTATCAGCTCAGTGTGAAATAGCATTCTTACCAGTATTGTTGCCAAACTTGCCCTGACTCAAAGCACATAAAGCAATAATATGAAAACTAAATTAGAATATCATTAAAGTGAAAAGGAGAGACATTGAAGAAAGTTCAGCGAAGACAAAAATGTTTCTATCCATATCTTTTCATCTTAGAATCTTAAGATATTGGAAAATATTTCACAAGCTTTACTCAGATGTTTCTACAATTTAACTGATCAAGTTTCATGAAGGGTGGGCAAAAACATCTATGCATGTCTACAAAACCCAGCTAGAAAACTATTTTCTTGTCATTTACATGCCTCTGAGTAGTCATGGCCTCCCTATTGACTATCCTTGGAATTGCTACAGAATGACATACTGTTAGTACTTTTACTTCTGTCATTATTTTAATAACTGAATGGGAGGTCGGCCCCTGCAGCAGAGGTTTTTCCAAGAACATTGTAATCTATTAGGAGTTTCTCCACTTTCTCTTGGCATGTGAAAAAAGCCCAGTTTAAGTTGGTAAGGGAAGGTGCATCAGTTTAGTTTCTGAGCATCTGTCTAGAATGTTACCTAAGATTTCCCCCACGCTCTCCTTCACCCCTCTCTGCTCCTCCTCCTATATCTCTCTTTGAATTTCTTCTTCCTCCACTCTCCTGCATTTTGTGTTGGTTTCCACTAAACAGATACATCACATGTGCCCATCATTAGGTTTCCCTGGGACAGATACCTATACATTTTGTTGGGTTTATTTTCCTTTGTTTTCACTCCTGGAGTCATGCTGGCTTAAATTCAGTATCATTAAGATGAGTAGAGAAAGAACATACCAGGCTAGTCTACTACAGTCATTGAAAGAAATGACGAAAAGCACACACATCCACCAGTGTAGGTGCTCTATGCCAGTCTTATAGCAAAGTCACAGGAAAGATGAAGGGAGTCACCCTAGTAGACAGCTTGAGCTGACAGGAGGGACACTCCTAGCTAGTTCCTACCTGTAAGGAGTAAGGTTTTTCCATCCGCCTCTGGTCTTCTGCCAGCCCCAAATAACGCACTGAGACTATGTATTTGATATAATGCTGTTGGCCAGGTACTAGTTTCTTATTGGCTAGCTCTGTCTTATTATTAACCCATTTCTATGTATTTCCACGTGGTCTTACCGGAGAGCGGGGACCGGCGGTTCTGTTCTCTCCCATCTCTCCATCTTGACTCCTCCTAACTACTTCCTCTTTCCTCCTTGTCTCCTAATCCCTCCTGTATTCCTTTCCTATTGGCCAAAAATGCTTTATTCATTAACCAGTATGAGAAACATATTTACAGAATGACATCTCCCATCACCTACCAAAGTGACAACCATCTCTACAGAGTCCACTTTGAAGAAAACTGCTCCAAATCTATATGGAAGGAAACTAGTGTCTTGGTGATAATGACCTCAGAAATTTATCCTCCTTGCCATGAGGTCTGCAAGTCAGAGAACTCAACTGAATTTATATGCCCAGAAAATGAACACAGTTTTATTCCCTGAGGAAGTTAGTGGCACTGTTTCTGGAAGTATTAAAGGATTCCAATCAGAAAGTTCCTCTTTCTATATTTGAAACATATATTTGCTCTCTGACTTTCTTTGTCACACCAACACAAATTGGCCACACATACAATTAGTAATGTGACACAAAATATGATAGAAAGCCCAAGAGTAGATGCATCTAGATATTGAAAACATGTTCTTGGAGCCTGTCAGATACAATTCTCAGCCAAGTTCTGCCTGTCTTCCTTAGTGCCATCTTCCCTGAGTAACTTCTGAAATGGACTTGAGGATGCCTTCTAGGAGAGGGCAAAGGACTCGTGGGAAAATGAAGGGGAGTTGGGTGCCTCATTTCCAAAATGCTAGCAGCCTTAGATTTATTTATTTATGAGATTGGCATTTTCTTAAATTCTATTAAATATGAAGCCAAAATCCACCCATCATTTTCTTTGTTTTCCTATACAATTTATTTAGGGCATGTATCAGACAGTTGAAAAGATGCAAATAAATAATAGACTCCTTGCATCAATAAAAAGCCTTATACCAAACTTATCATTTGTTTTTGTAGGTCAACAGCAAAAAAAAAAAAAAAAAAATGCCAATTCAGCATTCATCCTAAGGTAGTCAGTCTTCCATGTACATCACAAAGTAAGATTGGTCATTGTTTTCTTTTATGAATATATATTTTTTTATAGATTCAAAATACATATATCCATTACTGGCAAGTGAACATACCTATATATTGTATATTATTTCATTTGGCTATCATCTTTTAAGTAAAAAGAATAACATTTTAACATCTAATATATAATGTATATATTTAATTTTCTCTATAGCATATGTATGTTATATCTCAATACTATATATACACTATATATTGTGATGGAAAATTCACAGTGGCCAAATATAAGCTTTTTCTTCACAGTTAAAAATTCAGTCTTGAACATTTCTCCCTGTACTGAAAACTAACTAGTCAGT